ACAGATAATGAAACTGAGGTAAGAAAGATTGCTTTGCCTCAAGTCACACAGCTAGTATGTGTGGATGGAAAGATGGAATTCACATCTACCATTCTGGCTCAAAAATTCTACATTTATCCACTACAGTGAACAGTGCAATTATAACAGCTAATTATGGTATAATTTAAATGGATAGTTAAGTAATTTCAATACCTTCTTTTCTGAGAAGGTAAATTTTTATTGAAATAGCCTTTTCCTGCCCTTCCCTTTTTAACTATTGAAAAGAATTAGAAAGGATATTTTAAAATAGGGTTAGGCACTGGTTTTCATACAAAGAAATAGCAATATAGATTAGAAAAACCATGAGTCTGTTACCAACCTGGGAAGGTACTCTGTGGATTACACTTTATTTGTTGGGTGAAATAAATTTTTTAAATGAAATATTTAAAAAATTAACCAACAGTGAAAGTTCTTGTATTTTTGAGGAGACAAACCAGAGTAGAGTACAATTATGTAAACAATACTGGGTGCTTTTGTTTTGTTATTTGTGGCAGAAAAGATTTGACTTATTGTGTGTATTTTAAATTAGTTTAAAAATGGTGGAAGATCTGATTGACTGCGTCAGGTCTCTTGTCATATTATAGCAGGGATTAACATTTCTGAATTCTGTATCATGAAATGAACATAGAGAAAAGTACTAAATGCGTTTTTATAGAACATGTTTCACAATATAAAGATTTTGCAAAGTGTTATGCATTCATAGACGAGACTTTTTAAGATTTGCAAATTAAATTGTAGTTTAGACAGATTTTAAGTATAGAGTTGAACAGTTTTTGTAATCTGTGTATCAACTGATTTTATCAGTTACTGATTTTTTTTGAGTGCTTTCCATTTTTATCATTAAACAGGAACAGTAATTTTTTAGAGTACATTTGGAAATATTTTTATGGATTTAGCATACTATGACTAAAAAGCTGCTGTGATAGATGATTTTGGTAATATTGTGCTATCCTGTATAATGTACGTTTATCATCTCTTATGTACAAAAGTCTATTTTATTAATGGTTATTTTAATAGTAAAGCCGTTTTACAGAATTGGCCATTTTTATTAACATAGTAATGTTCTGTCAATTTAAAATATGCACCTTGAGGGGCCCCTGGGTGGCTCAGTCGGTTAAGCGTCCGACTTCAGCTCAGGTCACGATCTCGCGGTCCTTGAGTTCGAGCCCCGCGTCGGGCTCTGGGCTGATGGCTCGGAGCCTGGAGCCTGCTTCCAATTCTGTATCTCCCTCTCTCTGCCCCTCCCCCGTTCATGCTCTGTCTCTCTCTGTCTCAAAAATAAATAAACGTTAAAAAAAAAAATTAAAAAAAAATATGCACCTTGATAGCTCTGTATTTAATGATCTTACTGGCTTACTTCCTTTTCATCCTAAAATTGAAATAGCATTCATTTATCAATACCATTGACTGATCTGTTGGGCTTCATCTTAACAATTGCTTGCTTGTTTTTTATTCCCTTCTTTTTACTCTACCCCCTCCCTCAGGCCAGTCACCTTTCCCTTATTTTCTCTACCCTCTAATATTCTGGCTGGCCACTGCATTATTCCACTTTCTTCCCTGCTGTTCTATTGTCCCAAAACTGTATTATGTATGGCATTCTTTCCTTTTGCCTTTTCTATCAGCATCCATCCCCATTGCCTAAATCTGTGTGGTACTCATGGAGTCTGTTTAAATTCCAGGTCAACTAAATTTGTCTCATTAAAGTACTATTTGACATCTGTCTTCACCTTATAACTACATGGAGGAATACAGACCTACATACATAAAAATATTTTTTATTCTAATTGCTTTAGATCTTTTGCTTAACTGTGAGATTTCTTCCTAACATAATTCTCTGGAAACTTCTGGTATTTTTAATGTGGTTCTGGTTGAGGCAGGGTTGGGGCAAACCTGGCTATCACCTTCCTAGACTTGAATTTTTCTTCTCTCTATGTGAAAGAGATCTGTATTTCCAGATTGTTTATGTTCTTATTACTGGAAGTGTGGTCTGTGGGCCAGTAGCATCACATTACCTTTGTGTTAGAACTGCAGAATCTTAGGCCCCATTCTAGACCTTATGTTTTTCTCTCTCTTTTTTTTTAAAGTGTTCATTTTTGAGAGAGAGAGCACTAGCAGGGGTGGGGCAGAGAGAGAGAGAGAGAGAGAGAGAGAGAGAGAGAGAGAATTTGAAGCAGGCTCCAGGCTCCAAGCTGTCAGCACAGAGCCTGGTGTGGGCTCGAACTCACAAACCATGAGATCATGACCTGAGCCGAAGTCAGTTGCTTAACTAACTGAGCCACCCAGGCACCCCTAGACCTTATGCTTCTTAATCTATATTTTAACATGATCTCCGGTCAGTTGATATGAATATTGAAGTTTGCAAAACACTGTTCTAGGTATCATCCAGCTAGTTGACACATTAACAAGCTGACAGATAACTGTACTTTTCTAGAACTAATCTTAAAAATGTGACCTATAGTGATCTTATTTAAATGTTTATAAATTAGTTTTTAACTGTGCATCTTGGTTCATGAAAAGTTCTGTTCTGGTAGATATCACTACGACTTTGTGGAAAGAATGATGAATAATCTAGAAACAGTAGCTAGTTCATCTTTCAGGTGAAGTTTTGGTATATATTAGATCCAAAACTATGTCAGTCTTTTATAAGTCCGTTTTCTTTGTCCTGTCCTCTTGCATCAGTTTGCATCTGTGGATGAGGTACTATTTCTCTTTGCCTCTTGGGCTGTAACTTTTCAAGAAAATTGTATACATTAAGATGAACTTTTGAGGTGTAGGGAAAATGTTCAAATTTCTATTAATTTTTGATCTTACATGAGCAAAATTATGCCTTACTGAAGTTTGATATGCAAATCTTGCTTGTATGTATTAAAAAAAGTTTCTAGACTACTTCTCTGTCATGCAGTATGACAATCCCAGAATTTATCAGTAGACTGGAAAATAATCTTGTAGTAAATTCTGTACTGTGTCCTGCAGAATATGGATGCCCATGGGTAAGGGATAGTACTTACTATTATTTATGTGTGGTTGGTAGTAAAATAATTTCTGTGTTCTTTGAGCACATATTAATGGAAGCCTAAAGATAACTATCCTCTCTGTTAATCTATGTTACACGTAATCTTTGAAGTTAATATACTATGTGTGTGTAATCATTTGATTGTTACCCTAAAACTTAGATCTAGTTGTATTCTTGTGCTTTAGGAGATAGTTTTTAAAAACTTGAATGTTTTATTTTTATGGTCAGGATAGAAAAAAGTTCTTTTTTGGTACTTCAAGAATGAAGAGTTCTGAGAGCATACAGAATTAATCTTTTGCTGTTCTTTTGCATTTAAGTGAAGTGTGAACAGTGTGGCTCACCTACAAACACATTTCTCTTGGCGTTTTTCTGGAGTAATATCATTGTGTAATGATGTTAAACACTGGTTCAGTGAGTGTTTTGTAGGTTTCAGTGCCTTGTTTTTACTTACATACCTAAAAGTGGCAGGGGGAGGAAGTGGCAGAAATACCCAGATGTCTGTGAGATAGTGACATGTCACTTAGCACCTCAAGAGTGTTAAGTTTTAAACAACAAAAGTAAACTCCAAGGAGTGACCTTAGCTAGGAGCCATTGTGTTTTGTATAAGCCTCTACTGCATGTGGCTGTGACAGATGAGACTTTCCTTGTGGTTACCAGAGGACATCCTTGTGGTCATAACCAAGTTGTAAATGTCACCTAGATTCTTCTTGTATGTCTGTCACATGTGTATCAGTAATTCTAAAGTAGGTAAAAATGAAACAAAGATTCATCTGGGAGTTAGCACTCCCAGAAGATTAGTTTTAAAACAGAACAGCAGAAGGAGTTGTGACATGCATCCATAAGCAATTGTAATGATTTGACAGTTACTTAGCCCTCAGTTCCTAGCCCTTTGGTTGAACTGACAGCATGCCTGCAAAGATAGTGAGGCCTGTTTCAGCCCCATTAATGTCTTCTTGAATGTTAGCCTGCGGTCTCGGTAATGATAAATGTTCAGTGATTGATGATTTTATAATCCCAGGGGATTCTGGGTGTTTTCTGTTTCTGGGAGCCAAGGCAGTTTGTATTCTTGTTTGGGCCTCTAGGAGGTTTTTCTGATTTTTACTGAAACCATCGTAAGTTAGCAGAAGGGTAGGTATCCACCCGAGGTTTAATTAACCAGGATTCAAAGCCGTGTTTAAAAACAGTATGACTTTGTACTTAGTATGTGTGAGACTGAGAACCAGGAGAGTTTTTAATCCACAGAGCTTTTGTAACATTTATTTGTAAACGTTAGTATCTTTTTCCTCCTTTGCTTTTAAAAAACATGTTTTAAGTTATAAGGAGAAATTTAGTAACAGCTCTTGTGAGATAATAACATTAGTTTTATTGTTTTCATTGTGTACAATTTCATTTTTAAAACTCATAAGAATTTAAATCAGCTATTTTTAATAAATGTTTTCCTTTTTACATGATTCAGTTTCTCTAGCAGTATATCTTGTTACACTAGTATCAAAAGAGTACAAACAGATCTTTTTTGTTAAATATTTGTTTGCCATTTAGGAAAGGATTCAATTCTAATATACTGATTGTAGATTATTTTAGTATTTTAAATAATTGGTAGGGTTTAGAGACAGAATGGAGGGGAGAGATAAACATTTTCCTTATTTATTACAACTTAAAAATATATTTTCTTTATCCTTTAAAAAAAAAAAGATGAACTATAGAACTTTCCTTTTGGATGTAAAGAGTTCCTAGGGCTAATTTTCTTTAAGATCATTAAGAAACTACTTTAAAACCTTAAAAGGAATAAAAGGAGCATTTCTCTTTAGTTTTTCAAGTAATGAACAAGGAATTTGATTAGGAATGACCATTTGTAAGTCTGTATATTAATTAGATGAGTGTCATTATGCTCAATTAGCAGGACTGCCAAATAATCTCTTTAATACTCCGGTCTTTTTTTTCCCCCTAGGGTTTTACAGACAGCCCTCATTACAGTGATCACTTGAATGACAGTCGATTAGGGGCCCATGAAGGCTTGTCCCCAACACCTTTCATGAACTCAAATCTGATGGGTAAGTTGGTAATTCTCTTCAAGGAGTCTTCACAAAGCCTCTTTGGTCAGAGACATTTTTTATCCCCTTGTCCAGGAAATACACATCTGTATCTAGAAGAAAGTTCCTGTGTTTCTAGGGGCATCCAGGCTTTCCTTATTCAGCTCATTTTGAGGAGCAAGCATTCAGAAAAAGCATCAGTATCAAAAAAAGAAGTAGTAGTGTTTTAACTGTCAGTTTTGGCAATGTCTTTGTGACATCAGGCATTATATGTTTTCTGCTTTCTGGGCAGAAATGTCTTTCGGAGACATTTGTAATTGACTATTTGTCTTAACAGTCATTTATACGTGTGGCAATAAAAAATATGACAAAGTAGTGATTTTAAGCAGATTTTACTTATGTTGGACAATAGTCTTTTGGCACTATATAATTAAAACTTAATAGTACACTTAGATGTTGGCAGCATTTGTTTTAAGTACTTGGGTTCATATTGGGGATTTTGAAAGTTGTGTTCTGCAATAGTGAAGTTGTACTTTGAAGGATATTACCTGCCACCCAAACCTGATTATTATATTTGGCAAAACCTTTAAGGTTAGCTTTTCTTTTTTTCCCCCCTACTCCCTGCAAAACACCACTGTCTCCCTCCTTTCTTGCTTCCTCATATGAAAGTTTTTAGCTGTTCAATCTGAAATGATAAGCCCAAGTTGTTGGGTTTTTTTCCCCCCTCCTACTTTGGATGCCACTCTTTTTCTTTAAAAACAGTAATTTTACCTTTTTTGCAGAGCCGGATTAAAAAGAATTTCAGCTTTATGACATGATTTTTCCTTCTTGTTTCTGCTGGGCGTGAGCACATTAGAAAGCTTTGTTTAATCTATTTTAGTTGTCGTCATTGGCGTCATGTAAATATGGAAGTTTGTGTAATTGACATTAATTTCATTACTTTATTTGTTAAGGACATGACCTATATTGTGATCTTAGAATTGTCCTTTTAAGACACAGCCTTGCTAATCTAAATGGATTACCCAAATCCAAAATCCTGGTGGTCTGCAATTTCTTTATAAATGGTTTTGCTTTGCAAAGTCTTTTTTTAATTACCTTATCCTCCATGAAGTGTTGAGGACACAGTCTGATATTCTAGTGTGGATTTTGCCTAAAGCAGTTACCAGTTTAAAGCCAGAATCATTGAATATGACACAATAGTAAAAACTCTAATGAGCAGTAAAACTTGTGTTTAAAATGACAGTTTGTTTTAATGTAAATGCAAATGAAAACCACATTATTCCAGGTAAAAATCAATATTAAACTGAGAACAAAATAATTATCCTTGCATTTAGCCAGGGAAAACTTTCCAGTTTATCTTTTTAATTTTCTATTGAACTTACCATCAAAGTAAAATAGATGTGACACTCCAAATAATTTCTTTTTGTAGTGTATCTTTTTCCCAAGTAGCATTTAATTTATTATAAATATGGTAGAGCAAGCTCTAGTCAGTGCTGTTGTAATTTCAGATTGAACTAAGCTTTCTTAATTGAGGCTTTACTTCTTAGAAGTGAAAAATCAGAACTTACTCCTTTTTATGTTTATGCAATTTACCTTTATTCTTAGCTCACAGATATGATTTTTAAGCCCAGTGGAATTGCATCATTAGCATAGCTTTGAGCCAAGGTGACTGTTAAAGTTGTGGGAAGTAAATGAATTCTGAGAAGTGTACATGTCAGTCACTTGCTCTGAGCAGCTGTTGACTAAAAATATTTCTGTAATTCAGTTTGAGGTAACATTTTCTTAGTTGGAGCAATTATGAAAATGTGCTTCTTGGTTTCTTCAGTTTACAGATAATTATTACAAATCTTTTAATAGTCATACATACTCTGTGTATAACATCAACATCTAAAATAAATCTGGAAACATTATGAAAACCCAAATTTAGGGGTGCCTGGGTGGCTCAGTCAGTTGAGTGTCTGGCTTCGGCTCAGGTCATGATCTCGTGGTTCATGAGTTCAAGCCCCGCATCAGGCTCTGTGCTGACAGCTCGGAACCTGGAGCTTACTTTGAATTCTGTATCTCGCTCTCTTTCTGCCCCTCCCTGCTCACACTCTGTTTCTCTCTCAAAAATAAACATTGAAAAAAAAACAGAAAACCCTCAAATTTATAAACAGATTGATCCCTTCACAGTATGAGTGAAAAAATCTGGATTCATCTGAACTACACTGCACTGTTAATATGCAGCTATACATTTTCATTGTAAATTTTAACTATCTAATCTTAAAAATGTTAATTTACCTATAAGGAAGGAGAAAATAACCCTGAAAATATTAGGCAGGTATGTTCAAAAGGATTTCACCGGTCATTGGTAATACCTAATTTACTATACTTCTTCCCTTTATTTTCAATAAAATGATCACATGAGGTATCTAACAGTTTAAGGAATCTGAATGACAGTAGCTTTGGAAATGAATTTCTCCTAAATTTTAGAGCAGTTCTGTACAGCAACAGGCAATCCTACTTGATGTGAGCTGAAGTAAATGAACTGTTAGATACTCAAATATGTAGGTTTATAGTGCTCGATATAGTGTACGGATAGATTCACTCTTATAGCCTTTTGGTAATTTAAAGGAATTTCAGACTAAAAACCTATGTTGTTAAAGCATGACTGAGACATGCATAGCAGTATGGGAAGCATTCGGAACTGTAGATACCTAATCATCATTACAGGTAATACTTCAGAGTGATGATGTAAATGATGACTGCTTAGAAACAGTTAAAGCTAATAGGAAAGCAGTAACATATTTCATCATTGCTGTCAACATATAAAAATACCATTAAGAGGGGGGATAGAATCATATGCTAGGGAATATTGTTATTTTTCGTATTATGTTCAACCATAAGCACATTTGCCTGAAGAAATAATGGATTATAAAGTGCCACTGTCTTTCATGATGGAGCTCTCAAACACTTTAATGATTTTGCACATTGCAAAAATGAGAAATTTTGTCTAACAAGGGTTGATAATGATTCAATAATAAACAATTTACTACAGAAAAATGCATTTCTATATTCATTTAGATATTTTGAAGTGTTTTACATAGGAAATAAAGCTATTATGTTGGATCAGTTAGTGTTTCTTTTTAATGAATTCCAGAATTATCCCATTGATTTGTCATTATGGAAAAAAGGGCTTTCTTATGTTTCAAGTGAAATAAATACATCCTTTTGGCACATCACTAAGTAATTAGCATCAAACGGTCCTGTACTCTATTATAGGAAAGCTGCAAAGCTTTGACAGTAGCCCTGAATTGCAGTAATATCACCAGATAATCTTATGTATTTCTAGCCTCTTGCGGCTTTAGTCCATTTCTTTACCCTTAGTTCTCTCACTGATTTTAGTAAGATTTGCTTTCCTTTACCTGTTGTTGATTAGGTATATTTTTGGTGATGGTAGGACCAGTTTATTAATTGGATATAGAAATGAATTATTTCAAAAAATTGTCTACCTTCAATTTCCAAGTGATTATGGGATGAGCTACTCTTATCTTTCTACCTGTCCATGTTTTTCAAAGCCTTACTTATTTTGGACTATATGTGTGTATGTTGTCAATGGGAATTTTAAGGCGAGATTATATCACTTCAATATTACTTTTTTTCTGAGACTTTCAGTTGTATTCCTTTCTGAGACTTATTCTGCCTCTAGAGATGTTTTCTTAGTATTTTATCTGTTGAAGAGTGAAAGCAGCATGTGAAGGGTATAGGGGGAAATGTGGGGCCAAGAGGAGATGTAGGTTTTATTCCAGATCCTTAAAATTACCTTTCTGATAGGATATTCCTGGTTGATCTGAAAGGTCTACTGCAGGTCTAGAATTTTATAGTTCTAAAATCTCATGTATCTAATATCTTTTATCCAACCCTGAAAAAGACTTCAACTGGAATTAGAATTGCTGTTTTGCAAATGATAAAACTAAGGCACAGGAAAATTAAGTGTTCTTTTTCCCCTGAGGGCACAGAACCAATAAGTGGCAAAACTGAATATAGAATCCATGTCTCCTGACTCCCAAGTATTGTTTCCATTAGGCATGTCAGGTATTTGTTCTTTCTATGCTCCCAGGTTTTTACTAGCTCATCGTTTTCCTACACTCTAATTATGGAGACCCTGGTCTGCAGAAATGACCAGGAAAAAATGGTTCTATAGCTATATAACTTTGGGACACATTGTACATCATGTGCCCCTTCTTAAGAGATTCATATTGTGCTTTGGGATATTAAAGTCTCTGGAAACAACAACAACAAAAAAACAGGAGGAAAAGCTTATTTAACTTTGGTCATCTCATCACATCCTAGATTCAGATGACACACAGAAGCCTTCTTGTATAAAGGATCATTAGCCTTTGAGGAACTAGTTTTCCATGAGGCACACACTGAGCAATACTTATAGATTGTTTTATGGGGAAAATAAAAGATAATACATGAAAAGTTGTCTGAAATGTAAAATGGCACAATGTTAATGATATTGCTGTATATATTTTTATAACTTATTTTAGACATCTTAGCTAATATAGGTTGGGTTGAGTTGTTCAAATACAGTATTGTTAAGTCTTTTTAGCAGACTTACTTGAATTATAAATAAACCAACTGTCCTTCCTTTGATGTTGGAGTGTGTTTGCTCAGCTCGTCTACCCTTCTTT